GCTGGACCCAGGGGCCCCTTGCTATGTGCAAACTAGGGTCTTGGTGCCCTGCATCCTAGCTGCTCTAGTCATGGCTAAGAGGGGCCAAGATATAGCTCGGGCCATGGCTTCAGAGGGTCCAAGCCCCAACCCTTGGCAGCTTCCATGCAGTGTTGAGCCTGCAGGTGTACAGAAATGAAGAACTGAGGTTTGGGAAGCTCTGCCTAAATTTCAGAAGATGTATGGAAATGCCTGGATGTCCAGTAGAAGTTTGCTGCAGTGGCAGTGTCCTCATGGAGAACCTCTGCTACAGCAGTGTGGAAGGGAAATGTGGGGTTGGAGCCCCCACACAGGGTCCTCACTGGGGCATTGACTGGCAGGAGAGCCTACTTCTTGCATCAGTATGACCTGGATGTGAGACAGGGAGTCAAAGGAGATCATTTTGGAGCTTTAAGATTTGACTGCCCTGCTGGATTTTGGACTTGCATGGGTTCTTTATCCCCTTCTTTTTGGCCAGTTTCTCCCATTTGGAATGGTTGTATTTATCCAATGCCTGTACCCCCATTTTATCTAGGAAGTTACTAATTTGGTTTTGATTTTACAGGCCCATAGGCAGAAGGGACTTGCCTTGTCTCAGATAAGACTTTGAACTGTGGACTTTTAAGTTATTGCTGAAATGAGTTAAGATTTCGGGGGACCATTGGGAAGGCATGATTAGTTTTAAAATGTGAGGATATGAGATTTGGGAGGGGCCAGGGGCACAATGATATGGTTTGTCTGTGTCCCCACCCAAATCTCATCTTGAACTGTAGCTCCCATAATTCACACGTGTTGTGGAAGGGACCCAGTGGGAGATAATTGAATCACGGGGGCAGTTTCCTCCATATTGTTCTCACAGTAGTGAGTAAGTCTCACGAGATCTGATGGTTGTATAAGGGGAAACCCCTTCCACTTGGTTCTCACTCCCTCTTCACCTTCCACCATGATTATGAGGCCTTCCTAGCCACGTGGAACTGGGAGTCCATTGAACCTCTTTTTCTTTGTAAATTACCCAGTCGTAGGTATGTCTTTATCAGCAGCATGAAAACAGACTAATACATATATAGATCATACTAAAGAATCCACAAATGTTATTAAAACTAAGAAATTAGTTCAATAAGATTGCAGGACACAAGATCAATATGCCCATGAACTAAGGCATCTGCATCATCAAGAAAATGTTAGTATTTAGAATGTATTAGTACTTTCCAATTTTATTTATGTATTTGAAGTAATCCCTGTCAAAATCTCAGATGGTTTCTTTAAAGAAATTGACAAGTTAATCCTTAATTTTATATGAAAATTTGAAGGATCCAGAATGGCCAAAATGATCTGGAGAAAGAACAAATTTGGTGGAATCACTATTTCTGACTTCAAAACTTACCACAACACTACAATAATTAGACAATGTTGTACTTATATAATGGCCTATATTTGAGAATCCAGATACAAAACTTCACATTTATGGTCAATTAATTTTCAACATAGGTGCTGCAACAATTCAACCAGGGAAAGAATAGTGTTTTCAGCAAGGCTGGGACAACTGAAAATCCATGTGCAAAAGAATGAAATTGGACAACTGTTTTATACTACACAAAAATTAACTCAATACAGATCAAAGATTTAAATGTAACAGCTAATCCTATAGCATTAGAAGAGAAAATAGGTGCACAATTTTTGTGATCTAGAATTGGGCAGTTGCTGCTATTCTCACCTCAGAATAACTTAACACACACAAATTATTCTAAAATGTAAGTATTTTTAAAAACAAAAGTTCTGCTGTGCTTTTTCTATCAGCAAAAGTCACTTATGTTTGTAATTTGCGACACTTATTCATAAAATCCAGTAGCTATATATTTTGAACATGTTTAATATTAGTACATTTAGTTATAATAATTCTTAAAACTATTTCAGATATAATAAGGATAGAGGTATTCATTGCTATTGTGTGGTTGACTTTCTCTTTGTCTTGTTCCAATAGCTGCATATGTAAAGCCTTTAGAGAAATGTATTCATGAATGTGGTGAACATAGTAAGAAATCAGAAAAGTGACCAAATCATCTATTAAAATGGTCCTATTATCTAAGTTGGAGTACATTCCTTCATTATGAAGGCTCTTAAGTGCTATCATTTTAAACTCATTTACATGAGCTCTTCTTCCGTTTCAGTGACAGCTAAACTCCACTTAAATTGAATCTCCACTTGTGACTCTTTCTGAATCCATTGGAAGAGCTCCACATCATTTCCTGTACCAGCAAACAAGATGAACAAGCTGCATCTGATCCATGAATCTCAATTTCTGGGGCACAGGCCCCTACCCAGTCCAAAGGCCCATGAGCAAAGATGGGGTCTTGAAATTGATCAATGACACTGGAATGAGAAACATTCTCTTTCTCAAATTGGTTATGCTGTTTCTTTTTTCCCCTTCTATTAATGAATTATTCATTTTTCTGAGGTCATTTCTGCTAGCTCCATTTCTACACATTTGCATGCACACACACACAAATTTATTATATAATTTTCCTCTTAAAGTTTACTTCAGTTCTTGCCATGTTTTGCTCTCACTGAATAATACTTTGATTCACACACATAAGTTCATGTTTTTACACATGTTTAAGAATCCTTATAGAATAACATCCTAGAAATATAAATTTTGGGGCAAAGAACAAATCTGACATTAATTTTAATGAGTAATGCTAAATTATCCCTTTTCTAGGAGAAATTTTAACAATCTACAATTCCACAATAACTTCAGAGTGTGAATTTTCCTATGGCCTAGACAATACTGGGTATTAGGTCTTTTAGTGTTGTCAATCTAATGAATAAAAAAATGTTATAATGTTGCATTAATTTTCAAGAGTGTTTGATTTGGAATATTTTTACATATTTGATAGGTCATTCATTTGTTTTCTTCATATATTTTATCTCTTTTTGTTTTGCGTTGAGTATTTTTTATATACTGGTGAGGTTGATATATATCACATAGTTTACAAACTTTTAGCTCTGTATATCTTTCTGACATTTAGTGAGATATTAATACATGTATTTGTAAGGCTATTTTTCAGGTGTATTTTATGGATTTTATGTTGTTCTAAGATTATTTCAGTTTATTCTCTTTAATTATCTTGAAGTGTATTAAAATTTCTTGAATTTTCTATATTAGTAGTTCTCGTATTTTAGGATGCATCAGAATTACCCAGGATGTTTGTTACAGCACAGATCACTGGGCTCAGCAGGTCTGTGACAGAGCCTGAGACAATGCATTTCTAGTAAGTCTAGGACATGTAGCTGCTGCTGGTTTAGGGACACACTTTGAAAACTATATTTTCATATAATAATTATTTAATCTACAAATATTGAGTATTATATTCAGAGTTAGCTAGGATTATAGTATTTTATAGAAAAATATAAAGGAATTATAGCAGGTATCCATGTTTTATTACTCATTATAATAAAAATTTTCTACTATTTTATTATGTATTATTGCAGTAGGGCTCCAATGATGTGAATCTTTCTTCTTTGCTAAGTGTATTAAAATGTTTGTTTTTGTTTCTCTTAAATATGTTTATACTAGGTTTCTACCTGTGGCTTATAGTAATAGAGTTCAAATTTCTTATTTTTTAGTGTAAGGGGTTTTTTTATTGGTAATGAATGCAACATTTTATCAAATTATTTTGAATTTTAATAATATGATTGCATTATTTTTTCAATCTTTTCATGTAATGAAGTATATCAATAGATTGAATAATGTTGAGACATACTTGTATAATGGAAGTAATCTTACTCAGTTGTGATACTCAGTATTATTCCGGTATTTAATTTCTATTTGATTCTGTTTAGTTCAAAACCGTAAAGAGTCTGAGATATTACTTTGCTAGCTCAAAAATTAGTATGCCAGAGCTATATACGTACATACATGTATACCTAATCACAAGTATTTTGGTTGGGGAAAAGATTATTTTCTCACAGAGGAACTTGTTCCCCATGATACTGCTACAAGATGTCATGCAGCAAGCTTCACACCACAGGAGAGGAGGCTCCAAGTTATGAAAATAGCGCCTCTGCAGGAGCTACTAGCAAAACTGCCTATGCTCCCTGAGAGAGAAAGAAACCTTTGCTCCAGAATCTAAACAAGTTGTTTCTCAGAGTGGAGACAAATGCCACTGCTTTACTGCCCTGAGATATAAACAAATGGACACAGGGAGATACACATCACTACATGTCTCTGGAAGTATCTGTCTCTGACTTCAAAGGATTATTCCCTATTCAATCAACTTTTAACTTAAGTGGCAGCACTCTTTGCTTAGAAAGCTCTGAATATGCAGATGCAATGAGTTATTCATGGAACATTGCCTCCCAACAGGTCCCAATAATTGTTAAACTGTTGAATCATCATGGTTTTTTAAAGAAACTGACAAAAGATATAAAACTTGTCCCACAAAACAAATCAATTTTCTAAAAGTTTTTAAGCTACTGAAGCCCACTAATAGATTCTGATTTTAAGAATTCCTATATTTTTCTGCCAAGCTCCAAAACACAAATGTAGCCATGCCACCTCCTTCGCACTCCCCATTTTCAAAGTATTTTCCATTTTCCCAGGGTTTAATGAACTATGTACTATGTACTGATTCAGATTACTCAGTCTGGCACACATGGTCACCAACAGCATGGCTCCAATTAAACTTCCAATATGATTTCCCAGTAGAGCTGTTATTCTAACTCTCCCAGTTTACCTCATTTTACTTGCCTGCTTTCATTCATCCTTTCTTCCTTCGTTTTCACTCATACCTATTAAAATTCTTACTAACTCACAGGTTAACTCTCACATAAAACCATTTCTAACATCTCCAATTGAAATACTACCTTAATTAATTTTTGTATCAATTAAAATAAGTTTGTGGCCTGCATAGTATAGTGAGATCTCATCTCTACTAAAAAAAAAAAAAAAAAAGGTTAAAAATTAGCCAGGCATGCTGGCATACCTGTAGTCCCAGTTACTCGGGAGGCTGAGGTGAGAGGGTTTCTTGAAGTTGATAGAGGTTGTGTTGAGCCAAGGTCACACAACTGAACTCCAGCCTGGCCAAAAGAGCAAGACCCTAATTCAAACAAACAAAAAAAAGAAATAGTTTGTATGCCTTGTATAACATTTAATATAGTATGTTGGATTGTAATTTCTTTCGTGCCTCTCACCTCCAGTAAACTGCAATCCACTTAAAGAAATTAGTCTTAAATTTAATTTTACTAAAGTTTTTAGAAAAATAGCTTGTCCATAGTTGGAAATTAATCAGTGTTTCTAAGGTATTATAAAAATTTTATGATGCTATACCAATCATGTGGTACGCATCTTCTCTCTTTACTCAAGACTTACTTTCTCTGAAGAAAGCGGAATTGTGAACCAGTGTCAAAGGCACACATCATGAGATATTGTGGAGAAAAAGAGTACACATAAATATTGATGTTTATTCCACGTATTTATGGTTTGGGGGTTGAGGGAACTATGTTGATGTCAGAATCAACAGAGTTGGTGTTAAAGTGCAGTTCCTCTCTATTTTCAGGCAATCTACACATCAGAGTTAGTAGGTTTCTAAATAAACGTTAAGCTTGGATGCTTTGTAAAACATTAGTTTCAGTACTGTTACAGGATGTTACATCAAAGATGTTGCATAGGTATCCATCTAGTAGCTCTACAGTGAATAATTGGGTGGGGGGGAACACTGTGGATGCTCTAATTACTGTACTTCATGCCTTTGCTGCATTTAGAAGTTCAAATATTTCCAATAAGTGAGCCAAGTATTTTGGATTTAAGGAAAGACAACTTCAGCTTTAGTAGTTGTCTTTGTATTTCCTCTGACAGTTTACTGTGTTTCTCTCTTTTAAAACTTCATCTTCTACTTTAAGTACTTTATCCATTCTATTTCTAGGAATTGTCATCCTCTGCTCATTATCCACATCATTATGTCCTTTTACGAAGAAATTTTGTTTCCAATCTCATTCCTTTATACCCCAGATAATTTTTTTCCTAATAATTTTTTCTAGTTTTGATTTCAGCTGCCAAAGATTTGATCCAAAATGGTACTCTTATTCTCAGTGGTATTTGGATTCCTTCACTGAATTTGTCTGCACTGAAAACTAAACCAGTCAGAAGAACCCTTTGGTGGGCCTTTGGTTCTGGATTTCATTCAGGGACCACAGAGCTGCTCTTGAAGTCAAGCGTTCGCAAGCAGACACTTCAGTGTTCTACTAGTAAAAACTGTGTATCCGAGGAAGTTCAGACTCATTACATAAGCATTCCAATTTTTCTGTCACAAAGAAAATATTGCATACCTGCTATTCAAATAGTCTCTGGCTAAAAAAGTTGTTGCTTCTATATAAGAAAGCATGACTTAGATATACATTAGAGTGTTTCTTATTGTCATTGAACACACACACGTTCTGTTTACTTAATCCATTGCAATTTCTTTCTCTGCCCCTTTTTACACAAAGTTCCTTTCTTGGAGTGAGATGAGGGAATAAAGGAAGGTTTTGATTTAAATAAACAGACTGTAGTGGTTTCCTGAGGCTATCACGTGGTGGATGCCTCTGCTATAACACTTTGTCCTAATAAATAACATTATATGCTACGAATATTGAGTTAAATTGATTCATTTTGTGTATTCTTCTAAAGACTGACTTTAGAAATCTTCCTTTTTAGGAGATTTTAGAATTGTGTTGGAGAAATAGGAATTTCATTAACAACATATAGTCAACGCAGATAACAGATTCAAGTGCTCCCCCAAAGCAAAGATGACCCAGGAGAAATACAATCATCTTAGTGTGCTTTATGTGATTCATACGAAATTCAGCCCTTTTGGAGTTTCAGTTCTTAGCAAAATACTACTTGCTGTTTTTGAGGAAAAAAAATGGCATAAAAAGTCATATAAAAAGACTCATAAGGCCCTTGGACATCAAATAACTCTTACAAAACAACATTTTAATGAATTAAGTGTAAATGAATCAGAAACATGTGGGTTGAATTTCCCTTGAAATACCCATGGGCTTAAAAATTAAGGGGAAAAAAAAGAATTGCTTGGCAAAAAATTATGTGCATTTTATTGAGCTCAAGTCTTTTGAAAAAAAAAGAAAAAGAAAAAGGAAGCAGCCTTGATTTGGTTGACTGAATTAAAATTTTTAAAAAATCATGACCACAGCCTTTATTTATATTTTTAAATTCTACAAAACCCAGATTACAGATATAATTATGTGTCTATTTGAGTGTCAGATTCATTAATGTTAGACCATTCTTCAAGGACTGTAACATTTTGATTAACCAGAATTCTCAAGTAATGGTTGTCTTTCCCAGGGCAGAAGCGGCAGCCAGAAGAACTAAAGACTGTAGTTCAAATAAAGTTCATTAGAGTTGAGGTAAAGAAAACATGGTAATCATTCAGTTCACTAACCAAGAAGATCCAAAATCCAAAGGAGTAGTGGGCCCTGTTAGCTAACCACTGAACAAAAGGGTAGAAAAACAGTCATGCAAGGGCTAGGGCTCAGAAGATAAGGAAAGCTGAAAATAAGTGGAAAAATCTGTGTACTAAGGGGAAGATCTGGGATAAAAGAAAATGCTGACAAAAGAAAAATAAAAATTGCAAAGACTGAAAACTCTGAGTGTTGGCTAGAAATGGCCAAAATACAGCAGGGCATAGGGGTTGGAAAACTTCTAGAGATAGGAAAAGCAGGGCAGATATGAATATTCAATGACGTATTGTGGACACACATGTTAATATGAGTAAAAATGTGAGTTGTTGGCTCTGCCAACTTCAACATCGTAGAAACCATGCTACTCATTGCACCTGCAACGTGCTTAGGTTAGGGTGTCTTAAAATACCTATGGATGCACGCAAGATTATTTATGATTCATTTGCAGAGACATGTTTTTATTCAGATATATTCAGGCTTTGGGTGGAGTGAATAATTTGAATTGAGAGAGTCTAGGAGACCTAGTTTTCTGCTAGGGAAAAATCTGCCATTGGAAGAGAGAATAAAGATGTTGCATAGTAAAGAAAAGTTTGGGAAAGTCACCCTTCTCCAGTTTAGGGTAACTCATGTTCTCTCTGTAGGTGGGAACCTCTATGTCAACCAACATAATGTTTAGTTCCTTCAGAAATATTTTTCATGAACTCTTATATTAATAAACAGCTAGTTTTGTAATGCAGAGTTAGGTTAGTTAAAGTCTTTAAAAATTATTTTTATTCCCAGGAAATTCTAGTAAATGATAATAATTTGTTGATATAAATGTTACCTATCGATGACACCTATACACAAAAAAAGTATTCAAATTGTATAGAAAACATATTTATTGAGAGAGTTAATCTTTTTATTTAAATAGTATTTGTATAAGCATAGATTTTAGTTAAAGGCCAAAAGTATAGCTTTTACTAGCAACTGTGCCATGATACCGTGTCTACCACCAGTAACAACCCTTCACCCTAAAAAATAATTTTAAAGAGAAAAAAATGGTAAAGTAATAACAGAAGTGGGCATACATTTTGGGGATAGTAAAATATATTTTGTCTTTATAGTTTGTTAATTGAAAATAAAAATAACAGGAAAAGACAAAACTGAAATAAAAAATACATTTGCATATGATACAAACTCATGGAAAACTTGAGTGCCAAGACGCAGCTGATGATATTAAAAAGGGAATGGTGTGGAACTCATATCTAGTCACTGAGTCATAATTAACACTCTTAAATACAGATTTTGCCATTGCCCAGAAAAGCAGGCAGTCTTTTTTATTTTTCCACTTATGTTAAGGAGGTAATGGCGGCGGATAGGGGAAGGTTATTTCAGGATTTTTTTTTTTTTTGAGACGGAGTCTCGCTCTGTCGCCCAGGCTGCAGTGCAGTGGCGCGATCTCGGCTCACTGCACGCTCCGCCTCCCGGGTTCACACCATTCTCCTGCCTCAGCCTCCCAAGTAGCTGGGACTACAGGCGCCCGCCACCACGCCCGGCTAATTTTTTGTATTTTTAGTAGAGATGGGGTTTCACCGTGTTAGCCAGGATGGTCTCGATCTCTTGACCTCGTGATCCGCCCACCTCGGCCTCCCATAATGCTGGGATTACACGCGTGAGCCACCGCACCCGGCCTATTTCAGGGATTCTTAAAGATTCTATCAAGTTTTATCAGTAGACAGCCAGTTCAATGTCATCCACCTGAGAGAATCGTGGTCTAGTATTCCCACTCAGTGATTTTATTTTTCTGTAATCATTACTTTTAACTATCTTCCATCAGTCTTCCTTTCTTAACCTTTAGTGCCATTTGAGCAGATTCCAAAATGTTTTGGCAACTTTTAATTACTTTTTAAAATTTAATGCAAAACTCAATGTAAAAATCAACTTCTCCTTTTACACCAGCCTGAATTTGAGCTGAAACTCAAATGGTCACAGAGGCTGCTGAAGTTGCCTGAAGCAAGGTCTGGCTCAGAGCTGTCTCTTCCTTGCCTTCTTCCGGGAGTAGCTCCTCCAGTGTGCTCGACTGGAAGAAACGTGAGCCTACAGACTGAGTGTCTCGGCTTAACTGTTCTTGTGATCCTCTCTCTTACTGCCATTGCTTCTCCCTCTAACACTGATTGGCCTTTGATACACTCCAGGTCACCATGAGGTGGCAAATTTTCACATTCTAGTGAAAGAGCCCAGCGAGTGACTGAGGCTTAAAGGCTACTTTAATCACCTCCTGAAAGCTCTGGTTGAATGCCCTGGTTGCTAAAACTCTAACCTTTATGTGAGGGATAACCTCTTTGGGATTGTTATTTTTCTATAAATTTGAGATAGGCTTATATTTATTTAAGAATACTTTCATGCAGTTATATTACTCAGTACCCATTTCTCTTTGGTTAAATCTGTCATACTGAGATTTATACCAGCTTTTATAAATTCAAGATAAGTATCTAAATAATTTGATGAGTCTCCCCATTCAGGATTAGCCCACGAAGCTATTTCACAACGTGTTCATGTGCTCTTTTTGATTTCTGTTTTATTTATAATTGCATAAAACTATAGGTGAATGACCCCAGATGTTATCAGAGCATCTTGGACAATGTTATCAGTAAATATGCAA